TAAGAGTGAACTCTTATGTCTGGTGGAGACTTGTTATTTCAAGCAAGTCCTTGTATATGGAGGATGACTTTTCTGTTCTAAGGATGTGTGCGCTAACCATAGGCTATGCTGATATTGAGGGGGAGAATATATGATTATCTAAGATACTCTCATAAATGATCGAAGGAGACTCTCTAATATGAGATTGGAAGGCCGTGAAGATATGTCTGATATAATATCTTGACATCTCTGTAGTGAGAATTCATGTTTTTTAACTTGTCTGGACGGTGCTTCACTTAAAAAGGATTGAGGGATTTCATGGATCTCTAAGTCTGCTATAGTAGTAAAGTCAGTCTGCGAGCTGCGTATGGATTATGTTCCAGTACCATAGAAAATAGTGCAATCATGTATCTGTAATTGATTTCTGAACAAAATTTAGAACATCATCTCACATGTTTGCTACTTCAAGAAAGAAAGTGGTTCTTAAAGTTCAAGACATGAAGATTTCCAATCACCATTAGATTCAAGAGTTGGAATGCATGATCATAAGTATTAGTTGTGAAAACTTGTCATGATGAAGAATCTACTTGGGTTCGCATGATATAGAAGAAGAATGTCATACTATATGCTCTACCATTTGTAAGAAAGTAGTATTATTGGATCTTGAATGTGTGCATGAGACTGGTAGCAAATGTCCTGATGGAAGTTGGGTACTTGTCTAATGTGTTGGTGCAAACCTACAATCTGAATACCTTACTTTCATAATAAGTTATTTGGATGGTATCTAAAGAAGCTCATGAAATACTTGAGATTATGAACGTGGAACTTGATGATCAACCTTTCCAACTGTCACATAAGTCTTTGACCATATATTTCTGGTAGTATGCATGATATCTTGGAGTCATGACAAAGGTCATGTTAGACGGAGTGCTCGAAGTGGACTCTCAAGGAGCTAGAATATTTGAATCTGGAGTGAAGTTATGGTTTTCATATATTTCTCAACTGATCTTTCTCAGCAGTAGCATTTACAGTTAGATACAAATATATAGATTGGTGCTGCAATATTGCAGATTTTATGGAGCCTGCATGTGACTCAATATTGTGAAGTTTGCATCCTTGAATAGAGATTTTAATGGATGTCTTGTTTGAAGAATAAGAAATGTCACATACAATGTCTTAACATCTTAGAATGTTTCAGACTAAGAAGAATATGCTTAGATTCCAGTGAAAAGGATTGTGATATGCTTCAAAACAGGTGCATATGTGAAACATCATATTTGACTAGAGTTTTGTCCTTCTTGATAATGTCTGACTAGACATCAGGACATTGTTCAGGGCCTGATTAGATGATGTGGTCAAATCAGGAGGAAGTATGACACATATCTTTGACTGAATGTGTCTTTATTAGAACTGTCAAGATCAAAAAAGTTTGTTAGAAATTAATAAATTTGTTTAATACGAATACATGTGGTGTACATTTACTCTTGGTACAGTTGGTTTCCTCATATAACGCCTTTTTACCAAGTTCCGTGTTATAGTGAAGAAGCGTTAATTCCTAAGGAACTACTCAGCTATTTGAAGAGGTGTCTTTGTCTCTTTTATCATCTTGTGTTAGTCTTCCTTCATCTAAGCTCTTATGGATTTTGTCATGATGTGGATAAGCATTGGTTAGGTATGGTCTTGTGGGGGATATCTTTGTAAACTGTTGGCTAAAAAGGGGGAGAAATGTCATGTTCTTGTGGTTCTCTCTCTTCAAGTCTAAAGTATTCTTGCATCAGTTGGTTTGGGATATTGGGTAGAGTATCTGAGTTTTTCTCCTTCCTTACTCTGAATATTGTTTGTGTCTTGTGATCTGAGTTACGAACACAGTCGTGTCCTGTGTTATGAGTTACCAGAGGCTTAAATTGGAACTCCTGAGTTATCATCTGAACTATTGAGCTTGGTGTTTGATTAGTTCTTAATGATTCTATTATTCCTCTTAAGTTTCTTCTTATGCTCCTTAAGAGGGAGTTTTTGTCACAGGTTGAGGGGGAATATTAGTCATCTTCTTCCTCATATACACCATCTGGTGTTGTGCCTTCACACTCAGTGTTTGTGTGGAAAGAGGGTGAATCGAGAATCTTTTGGATCTGTGGTTTTACTATTGGATCTACGGAGCTGCTGTTAAGGAGGAGAATCTTCTGACTCTAGGTTGAAAGAGTAGAAAGATGAACAAATGTCGAACATGATGTCCTGACATCCACCTGATTAAGTATATGTTACCCTTGAAGATTACTCCGGACTGAAGACATATTGCTGAGTTTAGTACATTCTGAAGACTAACTGGTGTTGTTGAAATAAGTTGTAAAATGATTATTTGTTTTAGCCAAAAGTTGCTAAAGGGGAAGATTGTTAATTCTCTATGATTAGCATCAATTTTAGTAAAACAAATATAGCAACAATATGATAAATGGGATGAATTAGCTTGCTGAGTAAACAGGTTAAACAAAAACTCCTATGGTATGAAGAAATATGTTGTGATCTGCAAGGGTTGGGTTGTTGGATCGATCTGAGATTTATCTAATGTGAAATATTCTGAGAATATTATGCTATCTTAAGTGGCGTTCAAATTAAAGATTGAAGAAGAGTCAAGATGATTTCAAGGAGTTTATTAGTTTCTAATTTTGGAGACAGATTAGGAAACTAATGATAAGAAGTCCTATTTTTATGTAGAAGATTCTGCAGTGGTTTAATAACTGATTTACTGAAGGTTTTGAAGCCCAATACAGTCTAGAAGATTGTTATAAATAGAAGGATAAAATCCTATTTTTGGTATGGAATAGATTATAATGTTTATTAGGCCTTTAGGGTTTGTATTTCATCGATATTTGTGAGCCTCTCTAATGTCATGTTGATAGAAGAGTAGGACTGTTGTTAGTTAAGTTGTAACTATGTATCACTCATAAGCTTTTAAGCATAAGGTTGATTATTCTTCTTGGATGAAGCTTTGAAGCAAGTCCAAGTGTGTTTGTTAGTCAAGAGTCTTGACTGAACTTATTGTAATTGATAAAAATAGCATTGAGGTGATTTAGGAAGTGGGATGTCGATTTCTCATATTTAGAATGTTCCTAGGTGGAAGTTGCATTGGGTAGGGATTAGGTGAGAAATTGTAAAATGGAGAGTTTAACTTTGAACTAATACTGTTGATAGTGAACTTCCTTCCTGACTTGGTAGCTCCCAGAGTAGGTGTGTGTCCACCGAACTGGGTCATCATATCTGTGTGATATTATCTTTATGTTTTGTTCAGTTTTGTTTTTGATTGATCAACATGTTGTATAAAGATGTTGGAACATTTGTCACAATTATGTTGTGATATGTTTATATCACTCTGTTGTATTTTGCCCATGCATTATTATACAGAGATTAATGTCTAATATGTTTTATGACATTTGTTATCTGTATACCATAATTTTATTTTAGATTTGTAAATGTCCTTGAAACTTACAAAATTGTTTCAACTTTCTTGAAAAAACATGTGATTTATGTTGTTCTACAAAAATCGTATTCATAGTTTAAAAGACAATAATACAACATTAATTTTTTTATATAAACAGATTTGTAATAAAAAAGAAGATACAGTGAGTACACAAGAGGGGGATTGAACCAAACCCTAAGAAATCAGTAAAACTTAAAACAAGGTCTACCCAATTTGTTATGAATCATATTTGCAAAAACAGATACATGAGCTTCATTCTACCAGACAAAATCTTGAATGGAAATATCCAATAAAGCTAATTTATCTGCGCAATGATTCCCTTCTCTAAAAGTGTGAGACAATATGAAATTCATATTCTGAGCAGATTGAAGAGCAGATGTGGTAATTGATAAGTTTGTTGTTCCTTATAACCCTACTTCTAAAAAAAATAGGTCATTGATTATTGGATGATAAAAGATCACAACTCAACTTAAGATTAGCAGCATTGTTGATGGCAGAGAATGACCTGATACCAAGACCTCTTTCTGATTGAGGTTTGCAGACTTTATACCAAGCAAGAGTAGTAAGTTTTCTTTTGCAACATTAATTGAATAAAAGTTGTTTTCAATGTTTTACTATATACGCCCTTAAATTTTATGCAGTAATCGACACTAGATAAATTTTTATTAAAATAATATTAGACTAAAATTATTAGTTACTTTTGGAATATTTTATAATTGTTGTATTTATTTAAATATAATAAATATTCGTGTTGTCATAGACAAAGACGTAAAGACTCTATCATTCGGCTTCAGTCATTCAAAAAAAGAAAAAGGACAAATACGCAAAGAAAAATATCCATGTTATTATTAGATACAATAGTTATTTTTGGAGGTTTCCTTTATATTACAATGATGAAGATATACTTTTTTTCCCATATTTTATTTGAATTCAAATTATGCTACTGAAACAAAACTCTCAAAAAAAAAAAATTTAAATTATTCAATTTTTTGTTGTCTTTCACACCGGTTTCCGACCCACTTAATAAATCCAACGTATATAAAGGCTCAAATATTGGTCAAGTGTTTCCTACTTAAAAATTAAATTTATTCGATTAATCTTTTTATAATATTTTTCCAATTATTTTTCTTCAATAAATAATTTTGATTTTAATTTAATAATATATTTTAAATAAGATTAAAAGTACTTTTGTCTTCTACTGCAGTTGTAATTTGTGATTTTTATTTATAATTTTAATATCTGACTGTAAGTTAAATGATGAATAAATAAATAAATTTTATAATTTATTTTCAATTTTTGTATACATTAATTATATCTTTAGTTAAATAAATGTGAATAAAAAAAGCCTAAGAATTAAAAAAAAAAACATGGACTTCCATTCTTTAGATTGTAAACATGTATTGTCTACATTCTTTCCTGGCAAAAACTAGTGTTTGTCAAAGTTTTGATCATATAAATAGCACATATTATATATATCTTACATCTATCCTAAATCATGGACTGACTAATACATCAAGGCATGAACATGAAGGTGTTTCATTTAAATTTATAATTCTTCTACTTGAACAGAAAATCCACATTGGCATCGCTTTGTAAGTAAAAAAGTTTCCTCATCAAAGCTCTCGTTCTCTTTCAAGAAAACATGCTCATGGTCTTTGACTGAAGTACTTACCGATTCATCAAGATTGGTATCGCGGTTGTCCATCTGATGGTTTTCGGGAGTCTGATTCTGGTCATTACTACCACAAACTGTGGCATTTGACATGTTATCCTTCATATCCTGGGCAGCATTTGCCACCTCTGATTTTGAATTGTTATTATAACGATTGTTTAACCTTTGACGAGTTACAATAGACGAAAGAAGCTGGTACCATCGCCGAAGAGCTTGTGCTTCATCTCTTTTCTTTTCTTCTGCTTTCCGTCGTTCGTCTTCTTCTGCAAATGCCTGAAAAAAAGAGGAAGAAAACAAGTTATATCATGTGTATAAAACTGAATGCAATGTTGACATTCACATAAGCTGCAATTTTCGAACTTAATTTTAAAAACTAATCTAAAAAAACCAAAGGATGTTAAGAATGAAAAATATATGCATGATAAATCTATATTAATAAACTACTAACCCCTGCAAACATCCTAGGCTACAATTACACTGCAACATGCACATCAAATTAATTTCATCAAATATATGGAGGAGCATAAGATAGAAGACAGAATAAACATTTCCGAAGTCAAAAGCGACTTTATCCGTAATACTACAACACTAACTTATTTGTTGGGAAAAAGAAATACCTCTAACAGTGTATCCTTGAACTCAGCACACACCACAATACCATCATAGACAGGATATGATCGGCCATTTTTAAATTCAAAACCAACCATAGCAGGTGCATAATCAATCTCTAGCCTCTTGGCAACAGTATATGCCCTCGGAAACCTCAAGTGCACAGTACCCGGTGGTAGACATTTCTCAGACCAAACATCTACTTGACCACGATCGTTCTATATGTACAATAGAAATTGTAACTGTCAGCAATATGAAAATTTCTATAATCTCAGAAAACAAGCAAATATAATTTTTTCAAATCTGCACTTCTGCACTGTCCAGTTAGTTCATAGGCATGTATGTTTAACACATTGCAGCAAGTGATGACGCCAGAACCTAAGTTCAAGCTATATCAACTTCATTCGCTTTACTCAACCTATGGATCTTCTCACTAAAGCTTTTCCTTTCATACTTCAATAGTGATTTATTTTTTATAAAAAAATACTGCATGTAGCTTTGCACACAGCAACAGAACAAAGATTGGGAGTTTGAAGTGTTGTTTTAAAAATTGGAAATCTGATAAAAGGTTTGAGCTTAAGGAATCTAGTTTCAAAAATCATTGCCTTGGTTGTGAAATTGTTATGGCCTTTACAATTGCAACCTCGTTGTCTGCAGAACAAGGTAACTCGGAACAAATATAGTATTCATCAGAACAGTTGTGCACTGGTCCATTAAGAACGTGTAGGTGGTGCAACAAAATCTACCTTTCTAGACCGAAATCTAAAGAATGTCTAACTAACAGATATTGTCTCGATCCAGTGTGCAAATCACATGGGACACCATGTCTATTTAAGAAGTTTCCAAAGGTAAACAGTTGAACACTGTCTTTCAAACCTATAACTTTACTCTACATTAAGAGTACTCATAGAACGTAAAGACAATACCTTAGGAACTATTCCATTCACTGCATGAGGAAGATTTAATGGTTCTAGTTGCCATTTCCCATAAAGTTTAATATTTTCCTTAGAATCTGTGGTGCAGTCACGGTCATCAGCTTCAAAATCTTGTACTTTCTGAGGCTTAATGGGTCGTTTAAGCTCCTGGAAGATTTTTTGGATATCAAATCAATTACATGTGAATATAAATAGGAAAAATATACAACGAAATCAGAAAACAATAGAGCACTGTCAAACAGGTTATAGACCTTTGCAGGGTTTTCATTGGGTTTCACTTGCAGCCCTTCCCGGAGCCATCTTTCTTTTGTCATAACAGTTTGCACACAAGTCCTAGGGTAAACCGGGTGACCTGAACAAAACCCCAGAATCGGACCCTTTGGATGAAGTAGTTGATATTTTGTAAGCCATTTTTCTATGGCATAAAGTGGATGACTTTTGTAGGCCTGCAAATAACATAATATCACTACTAGTACTATCTACAATATCTAACATCATGTTGGCTAAAGTTACTTTTGAAACTACCTGCTGGTTGGTTGGAAGAGGCTCAGTTAATGCCCTGGTTTCTAATTCAATATCCTCAAGAGAGCTCCTTGTAGGAACAAAAGAATCATTCATGTTGGCTTCTGTTGCAGTGGATTGGTTTGTTCTCAAATGAGCCACACCTCCAGTTGCTCCAGACTCTAAGTTTCTCAGTGGTGCCAACACTGAATCCCACCATGTTGAATTAACTCGTTGTGATGCAATTTTGTGCCACTTCATACAGTACCTAATGTGTCAATATGAACTAGCATCTTCAGGCAATGAAATGTAACTTTACAGCCTTATGGAAATTACAAATTAGCATGCATGCAGCGTTGGGTAGAGCTAAGACAATATAGAACACCAATTAGAAAATATATATTATTAAATAGGAAAAAGAGTGATACATATAGCAAATCCGTTATACTTGTTCGTGTCAACATTCCCATGTACTGCCTTTCTGTTAGTGGTCAATAATGTCTTCAATGGGATTTTGTGACAGAATTGCATAATTTCCATAAACAAATAAAATGGCAACTTAAGCAGTAAACAAGCAAGTGTTTACACAAAGGCTATCAAGAAATCGATCAGTGTTAACGAAGTTGCAAACCATCACTGGTTTCATGCTGAACATATACAAAGTAGAAAATATCAAACCTGCGGGTCACATCTTTGGCCCCCTGCCCAGCAAAAGCAACAACATATCTCAAAGATGATTTGCAAGCAGCAACCATAGCTTCAACCTTGTCTTCTCCATCAATAATCAAATTCACAGCATCGATATGCACCCACTTTCCTGTCAAATTTTCTTCACTGCAATATACTTCTGCCCAATACAAAGGAGATCCTACTCTCATTGATCCAACTGCTGTAGAAATTAGTTGGGGAGAGGTTGAAGATTCTTCACCTATAACTCTTTTTATTCTTTTTGATGGACAAGAAAATTTTGATGATTCAATATTTTCACCAGACTCTTCTTTAGTCTTAGCACATTCAATTGCTGTAGTAGAAAGAGCCATTTCCATCTGCATCTCAAATTCAAGATCCCCCTTCCTCTTTGATTTATGAGATTTGTCAGTTATATGTGATTCAGGGTCGTTGACTTGTGCCTCAGAAGTTGGGAAGTTTGCCACTGTACGATCCAAATCTTCAGCAACAGAAGGATCTTTAGACTGATCCATATCGCTCGGTGCACTGCGTTTCTTACTTTTCCGTGAATGACCAAGAGAGCTTTCACATAGTTTCTCTCTCTTACAAGACAGTGATTTTTTAGGTGACTTAAAATCCAACTTTTGCTTAGATACCATTGGTGTTGAAGTATTAAATATCCCCTTACTAGATCCACTTGCAATTGGTCTAAAGGATTGATCTGGTTTAAGAGGTGAAACATCCAAAATGGAGACAAACCTGAAATATGCCTTCAATAAGAAAACTCCATATATTTGCATATTTTCTTCCAAACCTTATAGTAGGCATATTTTGTCTTATCTTTTCAATAAAACTAGGCTTCTATCGTGGCTATATACCTCTTGAATTAGAACTTTATAATTTTACGAAATTTTCACCATGAAGATCAAAATATAATTGTTTTATATTATTGTTATCTTTCTGTTTTAGATTCATTTCATCACATACAACATACTGTTTGAACATTACACGCACATCCCAAATAATAAAATGTGAAATCCTGCAGGTGGTTAAAACTTACAAGACCTGAGAGGAAACGAGAGTGAATGATTCATGTAAAGCCCGTTTTGGAAGGGCTGCTTCATTCATTTGGAATTCAACAGTATACATTATAATATTATATACTACCATGGAATTTCCAATGAAACAAAAAAGTTGATATTAACATTACTATTGAAGTATTGAATATAAAATTTTTCAGACCAATATCATAAAAGTTGACGAAATGAAGAAAGAAATCATTTTGAGTTCTTATGGAATACCTGGCTGTAAGATTTAAAGCTCTAAATAGTGCCACCGATAAAGCTGCAATCTGCAACCAAAAAAAATCATTTCACTTTCACTATATGCAGATGAAGAGGGTAGTTAAAAGACCATCAAACCATTTCATTCTGAGACAGAATTAGGTACAGAACCTGCACTTTCAACCATTTAATGCCTAGCTAATCTTATTGCAATGAATACGAACCTGGTAGGAACTGGTATCTCTATTATAATTTAGAAGAATTAGGGAAGAATTCCTCTCAATACAGTACAGATTACAAAACTTCGGGGGTCTGCATCTCCTAATGCTCAAATGCATCAAATATTTCAAATGACAAGATACCTCTAACTCTCATCCTTTTTTGTTATTTATGAGCAACATGACTTATTTCTCTAATCGTCCCAGCCCAACAGCTCTAAATATATAACTATGTTATCTGTGTCAACTAACAAATCTATCAATGCCATTGGATACTTGAAAACAAATGGAGTGGAGCCGGAGAGGTTCCATAGTTCATTATTGTTTTTAATAATATTTTAGTTTGAATTACTACTCAATACAATCTACATCTACATGGTGTTTTTGTGCACCATTATTAATATATTTCTCGTTGACGCCTTGTGTGCACATCATTGCAGCAACATGATGATGGGGCGTCACTTACTGGTGCATAACACGAAAGAAAGAAACATAGAGATATAATAGTATTCTTTCTGGTGAATAACACGAAAGAAAGAAACATAGGGATATAATAGTATTTATCGTGATTAAAAACTAAAATAATAGGGATTCATCCCATTACTCACAAATTGAAGGGGAACAAAAATGAAGGTGAGTGTTGGACTAGGATTTCAGGCCCTCAACTACCAACTAAGTCGTTCTAACTCCCTCATCTATCGAACCTATCAAAATCTTACTAAAAGAAAAACTAGGACTCCAGCAAAGTATATATCATGCAGTAAATACAAAAACAACAAAGCTTCTATTAAAAAAGATCTACCTCTTCAGAACTACCTTCGTGTAATTCTAAAGCAGATGCCAAAGCAAAGTGTGGTGACTTTTCTCCATTTGTATAGTTTTTAACATGGAAATTGTCATGGAACTGCAAGTGTTACACACAAGGAATCAAACAAGCTATAACAAGTGATATAGCACGAAGCCACCCAAGATTAGCCAGTAAATGAAACAAAATAATAAGTATACAGTATACTAGTTAAATCAAACCATACCCATGAGATTAAAGGATGTAGATCTTTTGAAGTGAGTTTTGTGACTTTTGATTGCGGGAACAAGTCCACTGGAAGTAGAGAAAGCAGAGAAGCCTGCCATTATCAAGAAATACACAACTTAACTCCCAATTCTCGGGCTAAAATTTAGACAAGAAAATAGAATTAACAAAACTGGATGATGCACAAACTTAATGAAAGAAGATAAAACAGAGAGTATACACAAAAATGAAAATATCATTTGGAAAGCTCTATATTAACAACTGATTTTAAAACGCAGTGAAAAAATCAGACTAAAGAACTGAGCTATTGATTATCACAAAAATAGGAATGTTAGAGGAGCACAGGAATGACTACAAAATGATACTATACATAATAGCAAAGCAACGTTGATCTTTTTCTCTTTTTCATTCAGAAGAACTTTTCATCTGCCTAAAAATGTCAGTAATAGTTCACCTGAATTAAAACATCATCACAAGCACGGTCTATTAATCTTCCCCGAGCAAGTAAACAAAGCAAATGAGCCTTGTGCACAAGTTCAGCCAATTCCTAAAGAATTTAGAAAGAAAAAGTATTTAGTAACTGACTAAATTTTATTGACACTAAAGCCAACTCTAGTATGTTCAAAGATGACAACTGACCTTATCTTCAGCAGAAGCTCGGCGAATTTGTTTCTTTACAGATGAATCAGGGGTCACATTCAATTCAATTGTCATGGGAAGATCATCCATGGCAACTGTACCGTCTTCCCAATCTGAGTCATCTAATTCTTCCTTTTTATCCGCATATCCCTCATCTAAACTTACATGACCACATTTCTCTTCTGCAGAATCCTTTCCAATAGAATTTCTATTACAGTGTTCAACTTCTGAAGTTTTTGGTGGGACAATCGGTTCCAATACCCGAGTAACATTTTGTTCCGGTTCAAAATCAACCTATAGAAAGATCAAAAGAACTTGATTTGGTCATTATTATACAACTTCAAACACTAACAATGAAGTTAAACTAATTAACATAGTCAAGTCACCATAAGAGCTGAACCGAACAAATAATGAAAAAGCAACGGGAAGTTACAGGCACCAACCGTAGTCTTTTTCTTGCTACCTCTGTTAGCACGGCGTAGAAGTTTTCCCACGGCATCCCGAGATATTTCCGTCAGGGATCCTGAAATCAAGCATTAGCATCGATCACTCACAAGGAAAATGATCTTACTCAGTAATTGTCGTGGGATATAATATTGTTCCCACCTTCGGCGTTGTGTTGGGATTTCGTTTCATCTTCTGCAAATTTAATAGGAAATACCCAAAAAACAATAAAAAGCATTAGAACGTACATGCTCATACAAAACATATACTGAAAACCATACATATGATCCACTGCTATAAAACTAAAATTAGACAACCTCCAAACATTAAGAGTAGTTCATTAGTTTGTTAGATTGGGGAAAATCCAAAACAATAACCCTCTCGTTAATTTTTTGCTTTCAATTCCACTAAGAAAGCGATACCTGACTCGTAAAAAAACTAAAACTTTAACCTCATCCCCAAGTACTAAAGGTGCATCATATGCAGTACTCACACTTCGTATTGAAGGCGTATTCAATGTCTGACACCAGTGCACGTGGTTACATTCAATTCAATCACTTTTATTTTCTCAAATCATTATCGGTGTCTACATGTCACTATCAGTGTTGTATCCGACAACACCGACACAAGACACATTCACATGCAGTTATATTCAATCATTTTCGCTATATTAAATTACTACTGGTGTCATCATGTCAATATCCGTGTTGCATACTACCAAGAACGGACACGGGAAACAAGACACCGAACACTGATACGTCGACACTAATAATAATCTGAAAAATGAATAAATTAAATCATAATAACAAGTATCAATAAAAATTATCAGTGTCTATTTCAGACACCGACATTAACATAATTTTTTTCAGAGGCGTCAGTGCTACAAAGATTCCATTTCTTCCGGAAAAACAGAGTTCCATTTTAAGGGAAAACCAATAATTATAATAAAATAGAAACATAAAGTTCCTGATTTGAGAGGTTAACTATAAGGTTTAATGCAACTAATAGAAACATTATCGATTAAAAATCAAAAAGGGAAGTAAAAACGGTAACACTTGTGGTTTTATATGCGTAATTGAATTTATCGTTGTTGATGTTTACAAGAAAGAGAATAGATAAAAATGGGAATGTAAAGAAACTAACAACCTGAAGATGGTCGCTTCTTCTGCCGTGAACTGCTTCCTCTGCGTGGCATTCTTCTTTTTCTTCTTCTCCAGAGAGAGAGAGAGGAGGGGGGGAGTGAAACACGTCGTCGCCGCCAAAAATATTAAGGGTAGATAAAAAATTAAATAATTTTATTTTAAAACTTAATTTAAAATTAAAAAAGATAACTTGTTCTTTTATTCCGGACAATTCTCTAATCGCCTTTGAGGTCATTCACAAGCTGAAGCGGAAAACTAGAGGTAATAGTGTATAATTTGTTCTTAAAATTGATATTAACAAGGTTTATGATTGGGTGGATTGATCGTTCCTGAAAAGAATGTTAAGTAGAATGGGCTTCGCTAATAAATGGGTTCATTGAATGATGATGTGTGTTACGTCGATAAATTATTCAGTGTTGGTTAATTCAGATTATGTGGGACCTATTCAATCAGGCAGGGTTTTGAGGCAGGGAGACCCGTTCTCTTCTTATCTCTTCATTCTTATAGCAGAAAGCCTCACTTCTCTTATCAAGAAAGTAGTAAACGCAGGGGACATCCATGGCATCCAGATTTGTAGGGGGCACCGTTGGTGTCACAACTACTTTTTGCTGACGATTATTTTCTTTTATGCAGGGTTAACCTTACGGATGTTCGAAATCTCATGAAGATTTTGAAAGTGTATGTATATTCCCCTGGCCAGGAGATTAATCTAAATAAATCGGAGGTGTTTTTCAGCCGCAACATTAGCAAGCCAGCTCAGGAGGATCTCGCTCGTGCTATGGGTGTGAGGCACGTATTGGCACAGGTACTTACCTGTGCCTACCATCTATGATTTGAAGAAGTAAGAAAGTTATGTTTGCATTTATCAAAAATCACATTTGGAAGAGAATTAATTCATGGAGGGGGAGGCCTTTATCTAAGACAGGTAAATAAGTTATGATTAAATCAGTTCTCCAGGCTATTTATGCTCATGTCATGAGTGTGTTCATTTTACCGGATAACATGGTGGGTAAAATAGATAAGATGTTGAATTCTTATTAGTGGTGAGGAGGTAACAATAACAGAGGTATTAGATGGCTCGCTTGGGATCAACTGACATACCCTAAAAAGGAGGGAGGATTGGGGTTTCGCAACTTTAGAGCTTTTAACATGACTGAAATTCTGGTATAACAGACTTCAGATGTCCTATGACATGTTGAGACATCTGAATCCGAACAAAACATATAAGCAATGTATTAAGCATACAAAAATAGTACTAAAAAGTAAACAACACTCGTGAATTGTTAACCCATATCAGAGCAACTCTCCTACTCTTAGGGCACACCAAGACAGGGATAAAGTTCACTATAATAGTATCAATTCGAAGCTGAACTCCCCTGTTTACAACTTCTCACTTAATCACTACTCGTGCTAACTTTCTATCTAAGACTCACCTAGGTATGAGGCTCTCCTCAACTCCATCGTCAATCACAAACAACAATTGGATCAAAACAGGAAGACACACTTCCATGACGCAAAACTAGAAGACACACTTCCATGATAATACTTAGCCAAGACTCTTAACTAAGAACACAACTAGGAGTTGCTTAAAAGCTTCCTCAAAAAACAATACTCACTCTTGCTTCACAACTTTTAGGAGAACAATAACAAAGATTACAACTATATAACATCAGTCCAACTCACAATCGAGTGGAACACACAACCAACTCTCCTAGAGAGTGGTACAGACTCAGCCCTAATGACTATATCTTTACATTCACGGTTGCTACCTTTTTTTAGGTTACAATGCTTCTATTTATAACATTTTTCCCAACTGGATTTGGGCTTCAAATCACAATATATAAGCTATTACAAATCAGCAGAATCTTCTGCTACAAAATAGGTCTTCAACTAAATTTTTCCTAATTTTTCTCCATAATTAGAAAGTCAATATTCTTCAATATTCTTCTTGATTCTGACTTGAATCTTCCAGACCTATAAAACAGCACCACATAGGATAGCATAATATTCCCAAAATATTCTATATCTGTTAAATCATGACAGAATCCAACTATCCAGTCCAGCCCATGCGCGATGTCGCATGACCCTGCATAGAACATCTTGTCCGACATGTTTCTCCAGATGATGAGAACTTCTCATCTTAACATGTCTCAACATAAAATAAAACTTCTTGCTCAACTTGTTATTCTTAACAAGTTAATACATCTTATTTAATATATTATTGTTATATTTATTTTAATAAAATTAATACCAATCTTAAAAATAGAGAACTAACAATCTTCCCCTTTGGCAAATTTTGGCTAAAACAAATAACACAAATTTTGACTAAACAATACAATCAGTTAGCAACAATCATAAACTAAAAACATCAGAAGCACTCAGTTTTTAGTCTTTACACATTTGACAGTCTTCAGTCATAATGTCACATCATTAACAATAAGACTTCTTCATGACAGTCCAACACAAATATTCTCTCTCTCTCTCTCTCTCTCTCTCTCTCTCTCTCTCTCTCTCTCTCTCTCTCTCTCTCTCTCTCTCTCTCTCTCTCTCTCACCTCTCTCCTCTCTCTTCTCTCTCTCTCTCTCTCTCTCTCTCTCTCTCTCTCTCTCTCTCTCTCTCAAGGGAATCAATGATTAACACATATTTTATCCCTCTTAAAAGTTATCCACACACAAACATAGCATATATACTTTCCCCCTTTTTAGCCAGAATATGACAAAGTCAGTATCCTCTGACAGATTGATGTTAAGATATCACATCCAACATCTCTTCACATCAACCCGAACAAACTTAACACCACATAACAGCAACCTCAGGATAAAAAGAGAAAGTCCTGAAGTCATGGTCGTGTACATGAGGAAGAAGATAAAAAACTCTCCCCCCTCAACCCATGAACTTAAAACACCAATAGTGACATAAGAGGAAACTTAAGAACAAATCAATCACCACCATAGGTAACTCAGAATACAAGTCGCAATTATGTTCATAACTCAGATCACAAGTCACAAAACCAATGAAAGCAACATGACACATGACAAAACTTCTTATTCGACATCTTTGCAAAACTGCCCCAAAAACAGACATCATACTTAACATCTGAACAAAAACTCCCCCCCCCCCCCCCCCCTACACACACATTTTTGTCAAAAAGCGGCAAACAAACCCTTCACAAAACTAGACCCAAAAGGTACTCACCCATACCCAGGCAAAAGCCATAAGGACTAGACAACCACAAGATGAAGGAAGAGAAGAAAAGGAACCTTTATAAATACCCGAGCAGATACCTAGAAAATAATAAACCTATATTGTAACAATGATCTTGGTCAAAGAGAATGTTATTTGAGAAGGAAAATTTGCATCAAGCATAAATGTGCAACGTCCAAAATAATTTTGAATGCTTTTAATGAATCTGGACTGGTTCTTCTAGAAATGACATTTCTAATACATGCACATGCAGTCAACCACGCTTTCAACACACCCTTCAGACATATGTTTTATCAAACTGTCCACAATACTCTCTTGTTGGTCTTACAGGAAATATGTCCTGAATAATATCCTGACATCAAGTCAGACATTGTCTGCTTAAAAACTTGACTATACATCTTCAATCACCACTCAAGGACGCTTCCCAAAATTATCCACATGTTCTGAAGAATAATCATACAACCTTCCATTGGTCTCTAAGACTACTTCTTTAAGCCATAAATAGTACACCACCAAGACAAGTGTGGCATCATCCATCAACAAAGATCTTCAAAGAGACCTTCCAAAATCCATAAAAAAATAAATTCTCCCAGACACAAGCAACATTATCCTTCATAATCATCCTAAGAAACATGTTAGCACATGTTTCAACCAACTAGCTTCACCTAGCTAGAACCATACATGTCCTGGTAACAATACACCATGACATATGTAACATTCCATTTAAATATTTAGTCTTTGTTTATTGATTTTGAGTTATTTTGGCATAATTAAAGATAAAAGACATGGTTAAGGGTATGTGAGAACTTAGTTTTAATTAGAGAATTAGAATGAAACTTAGCATATACTATTATAATAATAATAATAATAATAATAATAATAATAATAATAATAATAATAATAATAATAATAATAATAATAATAATAATAATAATAATGATGGTGAATATTGGAATATTCTATTATTATTAATAATAAAAATATTATTAATGTATGGTATTGTTACTACTAATGATATTATTATTAGTAATATTATATTTATTATTATTATTATTATTATTATTTCATACTATTATTATTTAATTAGAATAAAATAATTATTAGAAGGATAATAGAATTATTTGGGAGAAAAACTACCGTCACATAGAAACAGAGAAGAGAAGAGAAGGAAAAAAGTTGGGGCAAGAGAGATTTCACCATTGTTGAAGGATCAAAGCTCAAAACTAAGGTAAGGGGAGAATGAGTTCTTTAAATAGTGATTATAACATGATAAGGTAGTGAGGATTCCTTTCCCTCTTTAATTTGTTTGTATAATTGATGTATGATTCTTCTTTTGTTTGATTGATGTTATTTCTATGCGATTCTATATGGAATTGTGAATTGAATGATGTCAATGTTGTGTTTGTTGTTGATAATTGTTGTTGTTGTGATGTTATTCCATGAAAATCCCAATCTAGAAAATATAGGTTTAGGAAGATGATGAACAAAGAGGATTTGGATGTAGAAAATTGTTATAGGATGATAGATCAATGAAATTAGATGAAGTCTATAGATTATTATGTGTAAAAACACTATTTTATACCCAAATTAGGATGTTGAAAGCGCTCAAAATGAGTGGAAAACATACTAGTGCGATAGTAGATTTTGGAATGTGGCAAACTAACCATACGTGTATGGTACGGTAAGGGGGATATTTCCGGGAGCCATACGCGTATGGTACGCGCCTTGTCTCCAAGGCAGCACGACCTTCTGGTCGTACGCGTATGAGAGGGAGCCATACGCGTGTGGACTAGACAGTACGCGTATGGGAATTCTTAAGGGGTTTTGGGGGGGAAACGCTCCTGGTGGT